CGAGGGGTGGCTGGCCGCGCCGGGGCAGCTCCGCAACACCGAGCGAATTTACGGCGGTTTATGGCTGGGCTGTCATGCCCACGGTGCGGGCATAAAGCACGGGAGCGCTCCGTTGTCCCGTTCTTTTTTTAGAGTGCAGAGGATAAACGTGTGTAACTCACCGTCGCAGGCAGGCGACGTGAGGGCTCACTTCCAAAGAAGCAGCCTGCGCTAACCTCCTATTGTATAAAGGCTTAATTTTAGCCAGTTTTCTTTCTGCTTGTTTATTTATCAAGTTGCTTCTTCACTATTCCATGCACACTGTGAAGTTTTCATTGTTCCTGCTTTGGTTGACTAGAAAAGGAGCATCAACATCCAAAGAACGGATGGGAAGCTTGGTGGTTTCTAGTCATTTCCTTTCTGCCTCTTATTGTCCAAATGCTGCATTGACCTGCTGCAGTTTGGTTCTCACCTGGGCATTACTGCAGTACATCTCCTATAAGGCCCTTTTGTGTGACATTTCTTGTATTGGATACACTTTTTGAACCAGAGAAACTTCTTAAAGCAGGACCAGATGTTGAAAGAACACATAGCTCACCCAGTTTGGCGTTTATTTATGTGAATACTGACTACTTACAAGATATGTGATGAAAAAGAGATTTGTCCAACTATGGCACTTCTCAGACACAACCAAGAGTGTTGGTTTATACTGTGGATCAAATTTCCTTATGGAATCATATTTGTGCAGTTTTATTACCTATTGTTTCCCAAGTATTCAAGCAGTCACAACTGCCATGAAAACATGTATCCAAAAAGCTCTGTGGGTTTCAGTCTAATTACTTAGGCTTTTAATGAAGTGTACCAGAAGTTCATAGCTAGTCATTTATTCTTCATCATTTGTCTCTTCTTTCTAAACAAAAAGTTTTGTGTACTCTAGTGAGAGAGAAGAAACCATGATTATATAGCCCTAGGTGATAGTTTCTTCACAATAAGCAGTTGAGGGTTGCAAGGGAGAGTTTACAAACAAATTCCACCAAGCAGCACATACCTTATGGTCAGGACTTGGGAATAACAACTGCTCTTTTCAAAACAAGGACTTGCTCACAGACTATCTGTCGGCAATAAGAAGTTGAAATAGTATTTGGAATTAATAAACTGGCAGCAGAAAATAAGTAATAGCGACATGCTCTTATTTGGTGCTCAGCATGGCTCCCCGAGTATGGTCTGAGCAGTGTCCAGGCTCATAGCAGAGCGGCTGGCAGCACACGAGGTGCTGGGAGCCATTGGCGCCAGCTCCAGCGCTTCACATTACCCCCTGTTGTTAGTAGCCAGCACCATTACTCACCCTGCTCGTGGTGACATCCAGCAAAGGATCCCTGCAAACCCTCGGGACAGGATTGCCATTTTCTGCAGGGGGTCAGTGAGCCGCCACAGGGAGCAGGATGGCTGCCCACAGCCCTGCCTCACAGCTGCCCTGCCTCACTTGTGGTGTGCAAATGGGTGCTGCTCATCGGGGCCAGGTCACATCTCCTCCTGGGATCAGCTCGTCTTATTTCAGGGCACGTACAGATGTCCTCCACATAGACAGGGAGGCACAGACAACCACATACCCATAGGTCAGTGTGACATGGCTCGATGTTTTGCTTGGCCAAATGATGCAATCTTTCTGCCCAGGCATCTTTCTGTCCCAGCATCATGCCATCCGTTCTTTTCAGGCAAGGCATATTCTACATCTGAAATTTAATAGCCTGACACAGAAAGTCCCTTGTTACCTTAGATTTGCACATACTTGCCATCAAAAAGGTTGCCAAATGAGCCAGATTACCATGTTTCTATGGGTTACAGTGCAAAGCCATTTTCCTACCGAATAGCAATCCCATGCTAGATGTTTTTTTATTCTGAAAGGGTATGATGGGAAACCTGTCTTTTTTTCTGTCAGGGACAAATAGAAAAATCTGCCAAACTAGAATCAAAGTCCAAGCCGGGAAAGCAGAACTCTAAAATACCCAATAAATTGTTTCCATGCTCTTTCTCACAATGGCTAGCTATACTTCTACACAACTGGGAGAAAAGTTAGCCCTGCCTGGTCTTAGCTCTGAAAAGAGATGAGGCTCATGCTCATGTGTACATGGGTCTGCTCAAACATATCCTCGGACAAGGGGAAACATGATGAAGAAGAGCGAGAGGAGAAAGACCAGTGTCAAGTCTTCCTCCTTGCCCCAGTTAAAGTTACAGGGGGTTTTTTGCTAAAGCTTGGTTCTCAGAAAGATGTCAGCTAAAAGTTTGTTTAAATGCTTAGAAATTACTTGATAATGGCAGAGAGAACAAATTATTTCCCATAGCTTTTTCCCTAATGTGTTTTCACCTAGAAATAGATAAAAGAGGTTTTGAAAATGCAAATTAGCAGTGTCCTCTGCTTGCAGCAAAACCATGGTAATTTTCCTGATGGAGTCATTATTTATCTACTTCACGGCAAGGTTGGTCCAGAACAGACTGGACTGGAGTGCAGAATCCAAGCAGCAAGCTATATTATGCACAGTCTGATTAAATCTAGCACAGGAGTTGTTTGTGTAGGCGAAGAACATAACACAGATGTTTAACCTGTTATAAAAATCTCTGATCACGTCTGCCTGAGTTGGGAGCATTAAAGCAGCCATACCCTCCCATGCTCAGTTACTTGATACCATCAAGTGGACAAGCAGCAGCTTTGCAGTACGCTTGTCCCATCTAAACACAATCAACCAGAGGAAAAAAGTGGTAAGGCACATTGTTTGCTGCTTTTGCCAGCTTTCCACAAGCGGGAGGCAGAGGGAATCCAGGACATGCATATGCTCAGTGCCAGTGAGCCTGCTTCTTATTTTGCAGCCATGATGATGCCAGAGTCAAGAAGGCATCTACTTAGGATCATAACTAAGATTAAAACCAGATTGCTGTAGCACTTTTGAGAATGCTACCCATGCAATGAAAGAACACGGTTTCTTTTTTTTTTCCCCTCTCTATCTTAAAAAAAGCCACTGTATTTTTAACCTTTTTTATTGGTGAAGATTTATAGGTCTTGAATTAGAGGGAGTAACTTGGTCTAACGAGTTAAACTTCTATTCCAGGAGTAAACCAGACTGCACTTCATATGGGCAAGCAGTAATTTAACTGCTTGCTGCCAAGAACCTTATCTCAGACATTTCTAGTCACATTTAAGGTATACCATGCAAGTTTAAGTTACAAAAAACTTTAAATTCTTTAAAAGCCTATTTTGTATCTGATAGCCAGAATACAGCAGCTTGAAATAATACCTGTACACCTGGTATTTTGAGCTGGCCATTAACACATACAGGTGGAGTGTAAGAAATGGCAAATCTGCAGCACTCCAACTCAAACAGCAGCAAAAGGAGGAGAGTTTTAAGAAAGGTCTGCTTGAAGAGCTCATGCACAAAGACCT